AAAATAGGATGGGTGGCAGATCTTTTAGCTGTCAGGCTCCTCTCTTGTGGAATTAGCTCCCAGCTTTAGTCCGTGAGGCAGACACCTTGTCTACTTTTAAGGCTAGGCTTAAAACATTTTTATTTGACAGGGCCTATGGTTAAAATCTGATGTTAGCCTAGATCTGGACAAGTGGGGGAGTAGGGGGAGGTGGAGCGCGCAGTCGGAAAAGACAGCTCTCCCTTCTTCTGCCTCCAACATGCCTCCATCTAAAAGGCTAGGTGACCACTTTCCACACTCGACTACTTTCTTCTACAATCTGCTCTTTAACTGTATTATTTCCTGCTCTTTCAGCTGTTAACTTTATTGTTTCTCTTAAGTGTTTTTCTCCCCAGAAGAACCTACAATGATGCTCTGCTGAGCTGTGGTGGCCTCGTGGAGGGGGCCATCGTCTAGCACACTGCTGCTAACCACTTAAACATTCTCCCTCTCCTGCTAATAACATTTTACTCTCTTTGATATTGAATGTGCTACTACTAGTTTACCCATTTAATTATAGATTCTCTAGGATAAATACAATAAAGTTTATCTCTCACCAAATAGAATAATTACTTAGAAGTCACAATGTAACCATAGGAACACTACTTGGTATATATGCTGTGTGTGTGTGTGTGTGTGTGTGTGTGTGTGTGTGCATGCGGGCGCGTGTGGGGGGTCTTGTTCTGTGTGGAAACCATCGACATATACAAAAATGGACAATGAGTTTCCATAGACCCCAATAACACGTTTGAGGAGAAATGGGAGGTGGCCACCACCGCCATTTTGACCGTGTCACAGGTTCCGTCAAGCCCAGACAATTCCACAAAAGGGAAGAGAGGTGGAGCTGAGGGTGGGGCTGTAAGGCTGGGATCAACTGACGACACCCGGTCAAACTGGCTACAAGCTAACCTGAAGCTAACGCGGAGGTGGGAGCTAAGCTAACGTAGGTAGCAACCTAGCTACAACCGGATGTTAACTGTGTACAACACCAGAGCTTCTGAGTCAGAGATACGCCGGGCTGACCGCTGGGTAAAACCGGGTGGAACACACAGGTCTCCCGAGAGCTGCACAAGCCGGCAGCTGCGCAGCAGACAAGCGCCGCTGTGATCTGAGATGCGCAGAGCTGCCGCTGGGGAGAACCGGGTGGAAAGGTTTCCATCCCCGAGCTCCACAAGCCGGCAGCCCACGCAGCAGACAGAAGCCGCGGTGATCAGAGATGCGCCGAGCTGTGTGACCTTGACCTTGACAGTCCTGCTCTAGAGTCTGGTCCTCTTGATTTGACCGGTGTAAGTATCTCACTTTGAAGCAACCAGTCAGATTCCTCTGTGGAATCAGGCTGGTTTTGATGAAACAGGTGAGAGCTGAGCTACAGGTGGGAGATCTTGTATTATTTAAAATGTGGTTGTGTTGGGTTTATGTAAAATAAGAGATTGTATTTGACATCTACCAGGTGAGTCGTACCTGTCGCTGTGCTCTGTAGATAACTGATGCTCTGAAAAGGAAGGCATCGTTTGATTGGTTGTTGAAGGAGTAGGACAGCACTGAGGACAACCGTCTGGAGGCTGGTGTCATTTTTGCTGATGTTGTGTGGAGATCCAGGCATGGAGGAGGCTTTAGAACTTCCTGTTGCACGGTCCACTTCTGCAAGGTAAAAGCAAAC